ACTCTGAATTGGGAGCGAAACATATAGAAAGATAATGGAAGAAATTCAAAGTGTCTGAAAGAAGGATCTGGAAAAGGAGAAGAGGAATCCGAAGAACAAAATGGAGAAAAATTCGAAGAGAAGGAAGAATACAGAGAAATCGAAAAATTTGTTAGCTCATATGCAAAGAATCCAGATAGTCTTCTCAATCTGCATCGTGATTGGGGGAAACTAAAAAATCCTGGAAAACTTCAAATGAATTCAAATTTAAAATTTTTGGAAACCTCAAGGTGGAAAATTCAAGGATAAAGAAAACACAAGTTGGATGTTTAAAACAGATCAAAGATCCAATAAATAAAAATATTAAATATCAAAAAATGAGGATGCGAATAGTAAGAAGAGGAGAGTAGCAAAAGAGGAAGAGTGAAAGATCACCGGAACAAAGGTAAGAGGCGGCCGTGAGAAAAAATGTAGAGGATGGAGTTAAAGGAGGGGGAGAGAGAAGGGACTCGGAAAGTATGGAAAAAGGATGGAGGACGTTAAAGAGGAAATAAGGCCAGCTCGGTAAACAAATGGACAAATTGAATAAAATGAAAAAGAAGATGGCGGAGGAAATTAAAGGATTAAGGGCGGAAATTAAGAGAAAAAAAAGCAATGATATAAGGAAAAAGAGGAATCTATAGAAAGAATAAAACCTCGAAGAAGAAGGTTACAAAGATGAAAGAGAAAAAATAAAGCACAACATAACGATAAAGGGAGAAGAGATGGAAAAACGAAAAGAGATTGCAAGTAGAGGTGAACGCAAAAGAGACGAGAACAAGATTGAAGTAGGGGGAAATACAGTAACAGACGTGGAAATATGGGAAAAGAGGAGGGAAGTTGTGAGAGGTAAGGGAAGGTTAAAGGGAAGAAAAGGGAATTATGAGGATGGACAGAGAGAAGTTATAAAGAGATAGCGGAGGCAGAAAGAGGAAATGGCAAGATTAGTGGTGAAAGAAGGAAAAGAATTAGTGAAAGCGGAGACGAACAGAACGGACGAGGGACAGGGGGGGTTTAAGGATGGACGGTTAAGGTGTACAAGAGACGGCAGGGTGCGGAGTGAGGGGGGCGAGAGAATGAGATAGATAAGAACAGCAGAAGAAAGCTGCAAATCAGAGATGAGTAACAGAGATAGCAAGTAAAGACGTACAATTCTGGGAGTTACGAGGACATGATGTGGTGGGGTTGGCGGAATCATGAATGGAAGAGAAGAACAGATAGAAAATAAAGAAAGAAGGTTGCTGAATACAGATGGACGAATGAATTCGCAAAGAGCGAACACTTAAAGAAAGCACTAAAATTAAAGAGGAAGCGGGCATCCGGGAAAGGAATAAAGAAGTGTTGAAAAATCAATTAGAAAATATAGATGAAAGGGAGGAGGGGAATAAGGGAAGAGAAACCCAAGATAGTAGTCAAGAGATAAAGAATGCCATAAAGAGGGGGAGTTGTTACTGGAATTAATAGAAAGGAGGTGTTGGAGAGTATTAAACGGAAACAAGGAGGAAGATATGGATGGGGAATACACATACACGGGAGGGAGGGATAGGGAGGTAAGTAATTGATTACACGAAACAAATTTGGAATCAATAGAAGGTTCTAAGGTAGGAACAAAGATATGATCGGATTACCAACCGTTGGAATTGAGTTTAAAAGGGAAGATGAGAAGATCATGAAATAAAGAAACCCAAAGACGAAGGGAGATACACTTATGGACAAGAGAAGAGATACGGTGGAGGATTATAGAATCATCATCATTGCCATTATCTCCTTCATAGTGTATAACATGCAGATTGCTGAACCTTCCACGTCCTATGAACCTTCAGGGCATTCAGAATCATAAAATCTTTTGAAGACTCCGGAAGACCCGAGTGCCCGCTCAACCATAAATGCTCTATGAAATCGGTACACCAAAAGCTCACACAGCACTTCCTCATCTCGGGAACTACAGGGCATTGAAAGGAAATAAGCAGAATCTTCAGAATCTTCAGAATCTTCAAAATTTTCAGAATCTTCAGAATCTTCCGAATCTTCAGAATCTTCCGAATCTTCAGAATCTTCCGAATCTTCAGAATCTTCCGAATCTTCAGAATCTTCCGAATCTTCAGAATCTTCAAAATCTTCAGAACCTTCAAAATCTTCAGAATCTTCGAATCCTCAGAATCTTCAGAATCCTCAGAAGCTTCAGAATTTTCAGAATCCTCAGAATCTTCAGAATCAGGATCTTCAAGATCTTCAGAATCTTCAGAATGTTCAGAATCTTCAGAATTTTCAGAATCTTCAGAATCTTCAGAATCTTCAGAATCTTCAGAATCTTCAGAATCTTCAGAATCTTCAGAATCTTCAGAATCTTCAGAATCTTCAGAATCTTCAAAATCTTCAGAATCTTCAGAATCTTCAGAATCTTCAGAATCTTCAGAATCTTCAGAATCATTAGAATCTTCAGAATCTTCAGAATCTTCAATATCTGTAGAATCATCAAAATACTCAGGATCTTCAGCTAAAATTTTGCAAATTAAAATGTTTCGAAGCATTCTATGATGTGGAAGATTCTGACGAACGGGGTCCCTTCTAGGCGTTTTAAGTACCCTTACCACGATCTCAAAGCGTTTGAGAAAAAAGAGAGATTTATATCGCCTTTTAATTCCATTGCGTCTAGATGACACAGTCTCCTTGGGGGCCTATAACCACAGCTACTGCATTTCAAGCATCTGTAAAAGATTTTCAGAGCTGTATAAGCCTATACGCAGAGTGTTCTACCAGGTCCATTTTTTCAGAATAGGACCAAAAGGGATGTTGATACGCGATGGATTACCCGGAAATCCGTCATCAAGTTTTTAAGGTCAATGGAATTTGATTCTCCTTTGGCTTGAAGATCAAGAAATAAAAAACCCAAAGACTAAGAGAGGCTAGAGGAGCAAGTATATGAATGAGGAAATAGTACAGAGGAGGATTGAAAAAATAAGAAGGGGAGTATTAAGAAGTCAATATCATGGAAACAGGGAAAGAAGAGGCAAGGATAGATAAAAGAAAGAAATAGTGGGACAGAGAGTGTACAGAAGAGAGAAAAAGATACAGAACAATAATGGAGAGAGAGAGAAAGGGAGAGAGAGGCGAAGGAAGTGAGGAAACAGGAAAAAATACAAAAGAATATGTAATAAAAAGAAACAGAAAGAATATGAAGCAGGGAAACACATTTAGTAAGAGAGAAATATAAACACAGGATCGGAGGCAACACTTTGAAGGTAGTACAAGGTAAGAAGGAGAAACGGTGTGGGATAGAAGATGAGGGAAGGGAGGAAGTGGTAGACTGAATTAAGGGAAGGCGACAGGGAGGGATGAAATGTGAAATTGAGCTTGGATTTTCGCTACAGATAATATTAAGGAGAAGCTGAGGAAACTAATAAACAGGGTATGGAAAGGAGGACTACCGGAAGAATGGAAGAGAAGGGTATGGGAAATTATAGGGTAAACTCGATAATGACGGCGGAGGAGTTATTATGGAGGGATAAGAAATGGAGTAAGGATAGGAAGGAAAGAGTCTAAAGTGTTCTGAACAATTAAAGGATTGAGACAGGATGCCCACTTAGCCCAACATTATTTAATTTATACATGGGGGAGGGTCAACTTCAGAAAATTCCAAAAGACATTTTCAGCAACATCTGACTCCATTCTTGGACACCAAAAGGCAAAAATATGACATGAAAACGCTATCTGTGTCGCACAAAGGATTCGAATGGACAATTAATTGACGGATAATGGCACAAATTTATTCCGAAATACATAAAATGAAGAATTAAAACAAAATTTCTGAAGGAAAGAAAAGCTTACAAAGCGTTTTTGGAAAAATTACCCCGCACACAGACGTTCGACAAATAAAATAAAAAAAATCCTTGCAGTTTTTTTTCTCTTTTAATAATCTGTTTCTCATTACTTTCAGATTATGTTTAGAAATAGTTGTTCGTAGTGATCCTACAAAGAATCGTTTTGAAAACACTTCCTTCTCCTGCATCCTACATTTTTTTTAACCGATTAGGAAGCGTCTATTCTAAAACCTTATAAAAAAACTCGTACAGTTCTACTAGATGTATTATACTCTTCCCAATGAATCCTATTGAAACACTTCCTAGGAAAAGGTGACAAATCATGATATTGGGAGTGGTGCACCACACTATGAAATCTGCCAAACGCGAATTATTAATTTGCAATCTGAAAAACTTGTTTAAAGATGTGTGAATGCGCGAGTTAAAAGTGGGATGGAAAAACTCGCGAGAAACTCGGAAGAATTTAAGTGCCTGATTTATCGATTCGACTTTCCCCCTTCGCTTTTCGCGGATTATTTGGAGAACAAATTTAATGCGAAAGATTTTGAATTACAAAGCTTTGATTGACTTTGCAAAACGAATTACGCGAATCGAAAAAAAAGAGAGTATACTTTGAGACGAATGCACGCTTACGTTACATCAAAGGGAAATTCATTTCTTTAAAGCAATTTCCAAATTACTGGCTGACTTACGTAATTAAATGGAAAATTATCCCTTTGAGCTTCCATTTTATTAAAACTGACAGTGATTGACTTAACGAAACTAAACCTCATAAGCATATAAATTAATCTTGTATTTAAACACAGCGGAATGTTTGCGTAATTTGTCACGTGGATCGTTCTCTGTGCCTGGCAACCTGCTCTAAGAGCGCTTGTGTAAGCATGTGACGTATACATTATCTTTACGGTTACCCAATTTAGTTTGTACTTCCTACAAACAATGAGGTTCCAAATGCCGCCATTTTCAATTTTACAAAATGATTTCAACGGCTTTTAACGTTTTCATCCTACCACACGGAATCCTTAAGGACAAGTATCCGTTCGGAATTGGACTCATTCTGACTATTCACAATCAACAGATATGAAGGACACGGATAGGCGTCCCATTGCAACGGATACTTAGATAAATCAATTCTTGCGAACCATGAAGTGCCATATTTACCTGCATTGCTAACTTCACACGGAAGTATCACGTCGTCCTTCTCCGTCACCTTGTACACCTGACTCGACGTCAGGAACGTGGGCAGATCCGCCGGATTAATCTTTATTTGGCTCGCCTGACTGGACTCTGAAAAAAACGAAACAAATTAAACTCGAACGCACGTATGCGTAAATTACGTTGTTACTTCTTCCACCATTGGCCGAACGGGATTATTAATTTTGATTTATGGAGATTCGATTCGCCATTTCACTATATGCATATTATTGCATTCCCATTAGCCATATATGTGATTGAATAATGTTAATTTCTGTAATATTTCGTGAAATCGAGGGCTCGAATTGGGTTTATTTAATTAACGTATTGATGTGAGGGAGGCAACGAGCCTTGCACGTCTGCATTTTGGATCGGACTGTTTGTTATCGGACTTGCTATTAAACTAAAGCGGTGTACTTACAATTCAGTCAAAAGCATGGAAGTACCGTACAGATTTAGTACATCTAAATATCAATCAAACTTGCGTGTAACATAAGCTAATGCTGTTGACGTAGCAATCCTTAAAGGAGTTTGCGAGTGTATCAGTTATCTCTTAATGAATGCACATCACAATTTGCATCGAACCTACCTTCGATGGCGGAGACTTACTCAAATTAAACTGTTGCAATAATTATGCATTGCACATACGTTCATTGCCTCATGCATTTTGCATTTTATTTCTACCCTTCACGTAATTAAAAGAAATTTCTACTAGTTTCGGGTGGGGTTTTATTGCAGCTTTAATGATTACCACCTACTAGTGGGAACACCTCGAAAAATCAGCAAAAAATCTCAAATGCTCGGAGAACACGAATAACACCGATGATTTGGAATATTCCGAAAGTCAAGTTTACTGTAAAAGACCCTGGAGATCTTGATGGCCTAGCTAGAGGAACCCTACGATCATACCCTGCATTGCGAAAGTCAACTATCATCTTGAAACTCCAAAGAATCTTAAGACTTAAGTCCAATGATGCCCCCCGTATCATCCTCGAGCACTATGTAGAAGTAGAGCACTATAGCGTTACAAAGTAATGAAAATCTCAAGATCTCTGCATTAATATACAATATCTAGAGAATTCTACGGAACTTGTATGTTGAACCTTCATATCTACAAATCTTTAAAAAGCTATGAACGTTCAGTCGGTATTTATTGAACTTACCTACAGACCATTCAAAAGACTTAAAATAATTAATAATTTTCAGCACATCCTTCAGTACTTAATTACCTTTATAGTTTCTAACATGCAGAATCTTCCCCGTCCTTTGAACTTGCACAGCATTCAGAATTATAAAATCATTAAACTTTTGAAGACCCCGGAAAACCTGAGTGCCCCCTCAACCATAAATACCCCAACAATTCTGCACACCAAAAGCTCACACAGCACTTTCTCATCTCCGGAACTACAGGGTATTGAAAAGGAATCTTCAGAATCTTCAGAATCTTCAGAATCTTCAGAATCTTCAGAATCTTCAGAATCTTCAGAATCTTCAGAATCTTCGGAATCTTCGGAATCTTCGGAATCTTCGGAATCTTCGGAATCTTCGGAATCTTCAGAATCTTCAGAATCTTCAAAATCTTCAGAATCTTCAGAATCTTCAGAATCTTCAGAATCTTCAGAATCCTCAGAATCTTCAGAATCCTCAGAATCTTCAGAATCCTCAGAATCTTCAGAATCCTCAGAATCTTCAGAATCCTCAGAATCTTCAGAATCCTCAGAATCTTCAGAATCATCAGAATCTTCAGAATCCTCAGAATCTTCAGAATCCTCAGAATCTTCAGAATCCTCAGAATCTACAGAATCTTCAGAATCTTCAGTATCTTCAGAATTTTCAAACTCTTCAGAATCTTCGGAATCTTCAGTATCTTCAGAGTTCTTCAAAATCCTCAGTATCTTCATAGTCTTCAGAATCTTCATAATCTCTAGAATCTTCAGTTGTAAAATCTGCATAATTTTCAGTGCATCCTTTGGTACCTTCAGTATTTAATCTTCATTATTTTCTTCATAGTGTATGACATGGAGAACCTGCAGAGCATTCAGAATCAGAAAATCTTTAAACCTTCGAAGACCCCGGAAAACCCGAGGGCCCGCTCAACCATAAATGCCCCAACAATTCTGTACACCAAAAGCTCACATAGCACTTCCTCATCTCAACTACAGGGCATTGAAAAAAAAATAAACAGAATCTTTAGAATATCAAGAATCTTTAGGATATCAAGAATTTTTAGAATATCAAGAACCTTAAAAATCTTCAGAATATTCAGAATCTTCCGAATCTTCATAATCTTCAGAATCTTCAAAAGCTTAATTAATATAACACCACTACAGCTAATGCACTTCAAGCACCTATAACAGATCTTTAGGTCATTGCATAAACTACTCAGAGCCCTCTAAGGCTGTTCGCAGAGTAGTCTATAGGCAGAAAAATTTTTTCAGCCCATAAAGGTACCAAAAAGGATGCTGGTGGGCGATGGATAACCAGAAATGCTTCATATGGTCCTTTCTAATGTCCATGCAATATGTTTCCTCTGGATAACCCTCCATGGCTTTGGCTCTAGTAAGCTTTTACAAAGTTATTTGATCTAAAGCAGCCCTCTAAATGCCTCAAAATGAATCACAAATCTCACACAGACTCTGCAACACTCTGGAAGAGACATAAACGTCTTTAAGAGGGCACCGTAAAGATCTGGAGGACATACAGAAGATTTTGAAAAAGGTCTCAAACTTCTAAAGACACCAAGAAACCCTCAAAAGACCTCAAGGTACTCAATTCGTCAACGCCAATAAGGTTTTTTCCTTTTTCCTTGTTCAACACCATCTCATACATTCTAGCGTTCTTCTGAAACGGCCGGATGCATTCATTTTTTGTTTGAAAATTTTCAAAACTTTGTAAAGCGTAAAAAAATGACAAATTATTCACCTTAAACTTTGCAAAAAAGAATAAGCAAAGCGTTCAAGCAAAACAAACAAGTTCTGTATTTACATATAACGTTTCTATGTGTTATAAAATAATGCCCATCATGATTAACACTTTTCAAATGTTCAACACGGTCAAAAAGAGACTACGGACAGACTACAGACACAGACACACTACAGAGGCCACAGAAATTACAGAGAGGCTACATAGATACTACAGTGAAACTACAGAGATGGCATATAGTCGACAGACGTACTACAGAGATACTACAGACCTTGCTACAGAATGGCTACAGGCAGACTATGAAGAGGCTACAGAGACTGCGTAGAGGCTGCATAGAGACAAACTGTAGACCGCCTACCGACAGGCTACGGACAGACTACAAACTGACTACAGACAGACTACAAACTGATGGACAGACAAACTGTGGACAGACTATAGACAGACTACGGATAGACTATTAAGAGACTACGAACAGACTACGGACAGACTACGGACAGACTACGGACAGACTACGGACAGACTACGGACAGGCTACGGACAGACTACGGACAGACTACGGACAGACTACGGACAGACCACACATACTGAGTAGACCACAGAAGACTACCTGGAGACTACAGAGAAACTACAAAGAGACTACGAAGAAGTTACAGAGGGGCACTCTAGGAGAACTACAAAGGGAATACAGAGGGACTACAGGCAAATTGCAGAGGGGCTATAGAAAGATGGTCGACGAATTTGCATCCAGAACAAACCCGTGCTTCAGGTTCCTCTCAATTGATTAGCACTAATTTGGTTTATTTACTGGTGTGGTTACCAATGTTCCGCATCAAGGAATGTCCAAAATTATCCTTATCACTTTGGGCTTTGACAGTCAACAAAAGTATGAATTAATTGTCTGTAACATTTTTACCGGTTGCCGTTTTATTTATAATGTTATGAAGGTATATTAGTATTAAATAGGGAACTACACTCCTTAATTTCTCTTGACTAAAAAAACGTAATAATTAGTGTGAATTTGCGTCAGTCCAAAAATTTTATCAGCGGTGGTTATTGAAAGTGGTAGTAATTAATTGGTTAATTCAATTAACGCAAATTATTATTACATAAAGAGGTATTATCCTTAATTATATATATAATAATAAATATGTAAAATATTTCCGTGTTAAAAACAATTAACAGCTTACTTTGTAAACCACATCTTAATTGTCAAATTCTTGTTTCTTGAGTTTTAAATGTAGTACTCCATTTCTTGTTTCACTTTTTGTATGTATCATGACCTGTCTAGTTAAATACACTAACATAAAATAAATTAAAGGTTGAGTGGAAGAGCAGACACGGATGATATCCCTGTCTGAACTCCGCCATTTATACAGGCTCTGTATAGAAATTGTCTATTAAAGTCATTTATTATTATTATTATTATTATTATTATTACTCTTGACTACAAGGGCAATTAATTAGAGCCTATATTTGGTTCAGTTCAAGCAGCATTTCACGGGCTGCCCTTTAATTGGTGCCTCGTTCAAATTCAATCGACGCAAATTAGTATTGCATATAGAGATATCTTTCGCAACATACGCGACACAAAGGAAACATGAACCCGCTATGACACGGGTATGGTAGTACAGGATGGTACAGTTGTTGTGGCGGAAGAACTGTGCACTTCACTAACCCCTCAACCGTTTTTAAGTTGATGTCTTGAAGTTCTTCAGCTGTAAACACTACGCAGGGATGACCTAACGGATACTTGCCATACTTATTCACGTATGGGTATAAAGGGTGTTTCATAATTGAATGTCAATCTTTAAGGGGGCGATTTTTGGGTCCATTTTAAAAAGAAAACTTCATATGAACCTGTGCCTTAAACGTCTTCACTTTTGAGATACAGGGTGGTGAAGTTTTCAAAATTAAATCATTTATTATTATTACTAATATCTGTAATACCACGTTAGATAAAAATGAATTTTATCTCTCATTGTATCCTAATTAAAGGTCTCAACGAAAAGAACCGTTTTCTACCAACTACTGCCCTTCTTTCTACCCTCTTATCAAAGTACGGCCTAGAGGGTGAGGGGGGGGGGGAGGGGAACTAGTTTATCCTTCATGGTACTCTAATGAAAGGTCTCAACGAAAGGAATCAATTTCTACCAACCATAGCCCTCCTCCTCGACCTCTTATCGTGATCGGGTATATTCCCTTATACCTCAAGAACGGATTGACGGAAGAGGGTACTCACAAAGGGCGATCGAAACGTCTGCAAGAAATATATCCATCGGTGATGTCAAAACAAAAGCTATTTCGGGTAAAAATATGCGCTTTATCTGCATAAGACCTGTGCACAATTTATACTTGTTCATTTTACTGTGCACGCAGTACATATTATACCAAGCTCCACTTGTTGCCACTATCACGAAAAATCTTACGAACTTAAAATGACAAAATAATGAATAATTAAACAGATTCGTGTGCGTGACCAGCGACGAGGTCTCGTTAATGCACAAAGTAAACAAATCCAAATGAAACGCAACTACTGACTTCCCCCATTAAAAAAAACCAATCCCTCAGTCGCAAGTTTATTAATTAATTACTCGACCCGAGACAGTAAAGAATATTAATGGGTGGAAAAGGGCGAGAGCATACAGGCACAAAATAGAGTTATAAATAATCGAAATAAAGGAAGCGATTATCAAACGACATAAATCAATAGCAGCAGATGCTATCAAATATTAAATAAATAAAAATACCATTAGTGACAATGTTCCCTTGCACGCGATGTAACGTGATCCGAATCGTTGTCTCGGAATTGTTGGTTGTCCAAAATGTAATTGACGGGTTGTACGATTATTGTTAATAATAAGTTTCAATTTATTCGTCTTCACAAACATTGGGCGTAAGTACGGAGTTCATTGATGCAAAGCGGTGGGAGTCCCTTCACAGGCAGGCGGTGGAGTAAATTAATTGAAGGACGTATGCAATTATGATATTTAATAA